TTGCCTACATTGTCAGGTCCCAAGCCCTGGATGTGAGAAGTGGAGGGTTGCGTTAGATATTCGATAGCCAACATAAAATTTATCGAAAAATTATGACTTGAATCCTTTTGATCATTTTGTTGTTGTTGTTACCTGCATTGTAGATTGATTTGGTGCCTTTCTATTAGTAATTTTGCACTAGTCATTCTCTACATTTCAACTCATGTTATTGCCTAGCTTGTCATTGATTTAGGAATTCGTCCTTGTGCTTTAAGCGTTTTACTTTCAGGTTGCTTTCTCTATTGCTTTGTTTGTTTCTTATTGTTTCTTTCATTTTATAGAGGGTTTGCACTCTTCTTGCTCACAACTTCAATATTACAGTTAGATTTGGAAGTTTGAACATTTTCCTTACAACATTTTCATGACTTGCATATTATTTTTTTAATTTTTGGTTTATATGTGTAATTGGAGTTTGGTCAAGTCTGCTACAATTTGGTTTTCTCTTTTGCACAATAAATTTTAATTATTGTTTGATTAACATTTGATTTTGTATATTATTGCATTATGACAACATTTAAATTATTTTTTGAAGTGAGTTGCATGTATTTTTCTATTTTTGTGCAAAAGAGACTAAAATTTCCCTAAACTGAGAGTTGATATATTGCAGATTTTTGATGTTTTGTGTTTTTTTTTGGGGCTTACTCATTGAGTTGCATTAGGAGAACTCCTTGAAAATTTCTATAAATTTGGGTTACACTATCTGTCAAATCAATTTTCTATTGATATCTCACAAGGATGTTTACCAAATATCTTTGTAATTTTTCATGCGCCACATACACACACTAGGTACAATTAAGAGCATCCTGATAACTAATGCCTATCATTGTTAATTTCACATGATGTTTGTTAACTAAATATTTTCTGATCCCATATAACTTTCTTTCACTTGTAAGCTTGTCGTCTTTCTCCCAATTAGAGTAAGCTACGAAAATTAACCTAAATTGAGTCAATATCAAAACTATGTCAAATTATATGAATTTATTTAAAACTAGAGTATCCCCTGAAAGAGACGCACTGCATGACTTGAATATAGCGAAAAGTATGCAAGAGTTGCTATATCGGCGCCCGGGTGTAGTGTTAAATAAGGGTTACCATTTTACGGATGGATGCAGACAAAAAAGTTAGTCCATGAAACTAATATTATGATAAAATCTTGGAATATAAGTACTCTCACAAGTAAATTAATAAAATTAGTAGATAATATGGTTCATTGAAATATAAATATGTTATGTATTCAAAAAAATAAATGAGTTGGAGAAAAGACTAATGAGAATGATAGCTTAGATTTTAAACTTTGGTGTATTCAGATAGGAGTCGTACTAGAAATGTAGTTGTAATTCTAGATAACAGTTTGAAAGATGTTGTTGTAAAAATTAATAGAATTATAGATAAAATTATAACCTTAAAGATTATTGTTCATACTAGGGTTTTTAATGTTATAAGTACTAATGCTCCTCATGTAGGTTTAAATACAAGTTTAAAAGAAAAATTATGGAATGATCTAAAAGAATTAATACAAACAATATCTCATGAAGAAAGAATTTTTTTAGAGGAGGTTTAAATGGACATGTTGGCAGAGCGGTGGAAGATTTTATAAATATTCATGGTTGCTACGATTTTTGAGCGATTAATGAGCAGAACAATATTAGATTTTGTTTTAATATATGATTTTTTTATTGCTAATACTTAAAAAAATAAACATATTATTACTCATAAGAATGGATCTAATATAACAAAAATTGATTATTTTGTTATGAGAAAAAATGATCGTCGAGAATGTAAATATTTTTAAGGTTATTTCAAGTGAACATTTAAGTACTCAACATCAATAGTTAGTTCTGAATTTTAAGACGAGTTCTAAGATAAATAATATAATGAAATATTGTCATAAAACTAGATGGGGCACCTAAAAGAGAAATAAAATTATTTTGTTAAGTAAACTTTACGATTTCAAGATTTAGGATGTTCATGAAAGTAACAAACATTATTAAACAAGTGATGAAAGATATATTTAAAGAATCAAAAGGAAAAGATTTTATAATTAAAATTAGTTAGTGGTGAAATAATAGTGTGCGAGAAAAGATAAAATATAAGAAGTCGTGCTATAAAAATTTGTTTAAATGTAAAAGCTTAGAGAACTGAGAAAAATATAAGGTGGCTCATAGGGAGTTTAAGATAATAATTTGTGATGCTAAAAAATTTATTTTTAGTGATCTTTATAATAGATTATATATTAAAGAGGATAAAAAATATATGTATAAACTAGTTGAATGAAGAGAAAGGAAAAATAAAGGTTTAATTCAAGTAAAGTGCATCAAAGATGAAAATAAAAAAAAATATTTTTCTTAGAGGAAGATATTCAGCAGAGGCGGGGAGCTATTTTGATGAACTTTTCAATAAAGTTTTTGAAAATAAGATCAACCTTAGTGATTTTAATATCGTTAATAATAAGTAAACTTTTTTTTTTATCGTCGAATCAGTAAAAAAGAAGTTGAGTTGGCTTAAAATAAAATCAAGGGTGGAAATTTGTAGGACTTGATGACATCCCAATTGAAGTGTGAAATAATTTAGGATATTTGAGAGTTCTTTGGTTTACTACTTTTTTTTATTTTAAAAACTTATAAGATGCTTGAAAGGTCGAGGAAGAGTATGTTGGTTCTCATTTTTAAGAAAAAAGAGGATGCACAAGTGTGTGCAAATTATAAAAGAATTAAGTTGATGTGTCATACTTTAAAATTATGGGAGTGGGTAATTGAATATAGGTTAAAATGTGATACAATGATTTCTCATAATCCTTTTAAATTTATGCCAAACAAGTCTACTATGAAAGCTATATATTTATTGAGAGGCTTGATCGAGAAGTACAGAGAGAGTAAGAAGGATCTACATATGGTTTTATTGATTTAGAAAAAGCTTACAATAAGATTTTAAGAGAAGTCCTTTGGAGAGTTCTAGAGATGAAAGATGTTGATATGAATTATATTCAATTCATTAAAAATATGTATACTAGAGCTATTACTTGTGTTTGAATAGGAGGATTGACCAAGTATTTTTCTATTCTAGTTGGATTACATTAGGGATCGACTTTAAGCCCATATCTTTTTGCTTTAGTTATGTATGCTCTTACTAGATATTTACAGAAGGATGTGTCTTGGTGTATGTTTTTCAGAGATGATATCCTTCTTGTGGATAAGAATAGGGAAAAAGTTTAGGAAACAACCTAAATTATGGAGGTCTGCATTGGAGTCTAAAGGTCTTCATTTGAGTAGATTTAAAACTGAATATGTAATTTTGGTAGTAGTAGCTATGGTAGCATAGTTGTAATTATGGGTAATCAAGTCATTAAAAGGTGTGAACGTTGTAGATATCTCGAGTCTATTGTTCAAAGTGATGGTGATATAAATGGGGATGTTATTAGTATAATTCAAGTTGGTTGGTGGAAGTGGAGGAAGTGGAGGAATGAGTGGAGGAATGTATCAGACCAATTGTGTGATAGAAATATATCACTTTGACTTAAATGTAAATTTTGTAAGATGACCAAACTTGCAATGCTCTATGGTGCAGAATGTTGGCCTTTAAAAGAGAAGCATAAAAAAAAAAGTTTTGCGTAGATGAGAATGCTTAGGTGAGTGAGTGGCTTGACACGAAGAGACAAAATGTGAAATGAATATATTATCCGTGATAGGGTTTGTCTAGCTACAATGGTGGAGAAAATTAGAGAGTCGTCTTTGATGGTTTGGTCACATTAAACTTTGATCCGGTTGGGAGTATATGATTTAGATTCGACTTATGTTAAAAAAGACAGAGGTAGACCTAAAAAGACTTGAGCATATTGTGTAAAAAATGATCTTCATCTATTAGAATTAAATGAAAATATCACACTCAATAGGACACAATGGAGAAAAATGATTCATGTAGCCGACCCCACTTAGTGAGATACATGCTTGTTGCTGTTGTTGAAATCTAAAACTAGGAAACACAATACATCTTCCTTTCTCGGCCATCGTCAGCATGTTCTTAATAGCAAAATTAGTTAAACTAGTTATGGTGGGATATAAATAAACTGTTTGTAGATAATTATTTGCTGCGATGCTTTGATGAGGATAACTACAAATATTTTTTATTTGGATGGGTATGAGATTTATAATTAGGCATGTCAAAGGGCCTTTTTCTCCATGGGAAAGTTGAATAATATTAAAGAAAATGAGATGAAGGGTAAATATATTGTATATTCACCATTTATGACTTAACAAACTATCCCCATCGTTGGAGTGCTATATGAAAATTTTCACAATTAATTATTTGAAGTAATATATATGTTTGTATGTATGTATATTGAAAAGTTGAGAGCAGAAGCGCAGTGCCATTGTCAAACTTGCACATCCTAGGAGGCAACTTTGCACTTCAATCAGCAAGAAGTTTTTTAAAATTCTTTAATACCATATGTAACTTGGTGCACTATTTATTTGTTATATTTTCTATAGCTGTGGGTTTTTTCTTGTCATCCTTGGCCTCTATTAAATTTATCTGCTATAAAGTTGCACACCTTATTATATTGATTGAGTTCTTATACTCTATTTTTAGTCTAGAATATGCCTTTTGTCCTTTTTTTTTTCCTTGTAGTACTACCTTTCAGAATATTTTTAGGCTGAGCTAATTGTATTGGATTGCCATGATACCAAATATCTTAACTTTTCCTAAAGTTTCTTGAATATGAGAGTATGCCAAAGCAAACAATGTTCAAGTTGTGAATTTGGACGTGAATCATATTTTAATATTCTAAGATCTAAATCCCTTCGGATGACTGGTAAAAATATATTAGCTAGTGGTTTGGTGGAATTTTTCAAATTTGCTTTAGTCAAAATTTTGATGCTACATGCTTATGTCTAGCAATGATGATTGATCCTTTATAAGATTAGTTGATTACACTGATGATATGTATACACTATCTTTGTTTTCAGGATCTTAAATTTCGTCCACTTGTTGAACATGACTCGCAATCTTTGGAGCGCATGCTTCCTGAGATTCCTTTATGGGTCAAAAACCCGGACTTTGACAGGGTATGTTTTTGTTTAATTGCTCAAGTATGTTAAGGATTATGAAGGAGCTAAATGCATATTTATCTAATGTTTTTTTTTTAAATTTTTTTAAGGTTGATTGGCTAAACAAGTTTCTAGAGAATATGTGGCCATATCTGGATAAGGTACTTTTGTATTAATTTAATTTTTTTCATGGTAAGGGTGATATCATACTGTTAACTTTTTGGGGTGATTGCATACAGGGCACCCAAAACATTGGTTTTTACAAATCCAACACTCTCTTTCTTCCTTTTTTTGAAACTCTTACTCAAATATTGAAAGTCATGATAACCCCAAACCCATATTTTTCATTTTTATCAAATTAATAATGGTTTGATTGTGGCATGCTTAAATACATCAGTTTCATTGTTCAAAGAATCACCAGATGCTTAAGTTGTAAATAACAATGTTTTGCGTGCTCTGTTTGTAGTTATCCCTACTTTTTTTGCTCATAATAATAACATTTGCTATTTTTATTGAAGGCAATATGTAAAACTGCAAAGGAGATTGCAAAGCCAATTATTGCTGAGAATACTACAAAGTATAAAATTGATTCAGTTGAATTTCAAACACTGACCTTAGGTTCACTACCACCTACCTTTCAAGGTTGGTATCTCTATAGATTAATTCTTTTTGAAAGTTACATTATGATTTTATCACAAATATTTTTGTTTTTGTTGGTTTGCGGGTGGGGTGCCGGCTAGGAGGAAAAAATAGAATATTTTTGAGATTGATTTGCAAGTCTCATCCCGATCGTTAGCTTTATCTTAGCTTTTTGAGGTCCTCTTTTTGAATAATTTTTTTCATTCTTTTATATTGATTGCTAAATCTTTAGTTGTTTAACCGGCATAAATCTTTGCATAACTTGTAGCCATGCCATAGCATGTTTATCACTCGGTTGTTTCTCGTTTGTTCTTTCTGCTAACAGTTTCATCTCTTCAACTCTTATGCTGACCATGCCGAGGCCATTTTCATTTAACGTATATTATCTAATTTTTAAGGTGCAACTCCATTAGTTTCATAGATTCAAGTATTTATCATTTTTTCTTCTTTTACCTTGTATCCTCTTATTAATCTCATTTATCAAAGTCGAAGAGGGCTACTAAAAACTTATTTATCGCTCAAAAATTTTTTCCCAAATAATGTTGCTAATCTTATTGCAATGTGATAAAATTTACCTTTTCAGGTCTCCAAAAGATTCTATTATGACATAATATACTTCGTAAGCACTTCCCCATTCAGTCGCTAAACTTTTATATGCCCTCATTAACATCTCCATTTATATGTATAATAGATTTAAGATTGTCAAACTACTCTCATACATGTGCATGTAATGTTGAGCGGTGGTTATCAATTTCACTTTTAGGAGCCGTTTGTTTGAGTAAATTAGTGGTGTACTGTAAATCTTTTGCAGGGATTTGAAAGAATTTTGTGTTTGGTATGAAAATTTATAAATATAATGTAAGGTTTTAATGAATTTGAAGTTTCCGATTTGGCCGAATTTTAATTACGTCATTCATGTATGTTATAAGCAATTTGCAGCTTGCTGTAGCCAGCCGCTTGCCGCCGCCGCTGCCGCTCGCCACCGACGCCCGTCTGCTCGCTCGCTCACCCGCCGGGCTGCCACCCGCCGCCCTACCCCGCTCGCGGGCTGCCACCCGTCGCCATCGCTTTCTCTCGCCACACGCCGCTCAGTGCCATTTGTCAAAGTAAATACATTATTTTCAATCTACTTCAAACCAAATATAAAAAAAATTCTAATTTTAATTTACAATGAGCTAAACAGCTCGAAAGTATTTCATATACACTGTAATCGAACTATTATGTAAATCTTTTACACAACATTTTATTTTTAGCAAACCAAATGGGCCTTTACTGAAATTAATATGCATTGGTTGTTATAAGCTTATATTGTTTTCAAACTCCTTTAAACTTTTCTCCATTGCTCCAATTTTTTGATTCAACATGATGTCTCATTTAACAATAACATCATTTGCAAAACACCAACTTGCTTACTTCTAATGTCTTTTGTAAGCAATTTCATTGTTATAATAAAAATATATTGACATATTATTGATTCTTGATGCACTCCTATTTATGAATTTGGTGTGGGAAGAATAAAACTTTGCGTGGGAAGCGATTCATGTACACAACTTAAATTTAGTGCACTCAATTGACCACAAATGATTCCATTCATTCTGTCTTTAATCAATAACCAATATGTACATCTTGGATTTCTATTTATATGATAAGGTTACAATTTGACCAAATGTTTAAATGCAAATCTTATTCTATACCATGTTGACAAATTTTAAATTTAAATTATTTTTATCCTAGAAGATAAAACGTAATAAATTATATCTACTTTTAAAAAAGTAAAAAGACTATAATATAAATGAGCTTAAAAAGCCCAAAAATGAGTTCAATTCATATCAATTATAGTCTAATCTAACTTTTTTGTAAATAACGTATCATTAACTAGGTGATATCGAAACTAGCAGGAGAAACAGTAAAAAACACAAACACAAACTTTTACTAATTTTAAAGTAGGATTATGGCATAACCTGAACGAAAATAACAACACAACATAAGACGACACCAACAAATTCTCTTAATGCATCCCATGGGTGGTGGAGGTCAGCTAGAGGGATTGAGATGATTGGGAGGGATGACGACCACCACGAAACTCTGGTAGTAGTGAAGGGAAGGTGCAGAACTGTTGGGAAAACAAGTAGGAAAGGGTTGTAGGTGGTCGACAACGATTGTGGGATGGTTGGGTGGAGCTTGAAATGAGTTAGGTAGACGAGACAATAGTAATAATTTGTAGGAAGGGGGGATGGTTGAGCATCGGGGTGACAGAGGGAGAGTTTGGCAGCTGAGGAGTGGAGATGAGAAGGTTTGAGGAAGGTAAAGGGGAGGATACAATCACTATTTGAGGGGGATATAACCGGAGCACCACCTGCTTCTTGGATACAATACACAAAGGGGAAAGAAAAGAGATCTGAAACTGAACACACTCACTTCTAGAACCGACTGTCCACTCATAGGGGACGGCAATTTATAGGCTCTCCCTGGACGAGGAAGCTTCTACACAAACGAAGGGAGTGGGAAGCCTAGAAAAATTCTGAAAACACTCCCTCGAGCAGCAGATTTGTGATGCCCTACCTGGATCTCAATAGTTTGCGTGATCCCTCCATCCCTCGTGCGGGATCTCCCTCTCTCGCGAACCCTCATGAGATCCCCGTCGTTCCACTTCTAGGATGCCAAAGGGGGTCTTGGCCCCATGGTTCGAAGCACGTCACTATGTTTTTGTGAATTATTTTACCCATTTGATTGTCTATACTGCACCAACTTTCCTAGAGTGCAAGTAACTCTCCATCAAAGATTTGAGATCGACGTAGTCATCCAAGAGTTTAGGGCATGCTTGTGCATTTTTTACTTGGTCATCTAGGCATTATTTGATGAAGGCACACATATTCATTGAACTAGAAAGCGGAAGCTTACGCTGCAACAATTTTTCTAAGTATCACTTCATTTGAAATGATACATTCAGCATCCATTTTGGTGATGAAATTGGAATGATTCGATCTGTGAATGCAACCTTCGGTGTACCGTCAAGAGCTTTTCTAAATATTTATTTCATTATAATGTTTCTTATGATATATATTTAATCTATTTTAATCTCACTATATAAATGATGTATATGGTATACAAGTGACGCAAATATGCATGCAGTGACAAAGGAACATTATCTATTGGCTTTCTAGTTTTTTGTCTTCCTCAATTTCTACCTAATGAAGGCTAGTAAAACTTTTATGTAACGTATATTGACTATCTAACTTTGTTTTTACCTTTTTCTACCTTGACATACATTGCCTTCCTACCACCAACATGCATTTTTCAAATAACATGGAAACACAGAGATGACTTTAAAATGCAAAACTCTTTACCTTTATAAAGATATCGATCTTGAATTATACAAATAGCAAAGGGAACATATGATATTCTCATGATCGGGATAAATCAAGTGAAAGTCAGGACAAGTTATAGACTTGTATTCAGTCAAAACTAGGTACATTAATTTGCATATTGGTAAGAGTAAGGAAAGCTGGGATATTGCATGAGCTAGTTTATTTCGATGTTAGGTTTATTTTTATAAGACATAGGTGCAATTTTGAATGTGCTCAATCCATTTAACTTATCTATTGCCCAACTTCATTTTAGTATTTTAATATTTCAAGGTCTAGTGATCATAAGTACGGATGAATTTCTTGGTGACAAATAATGTTGCCAATGTCTTAATACATCAAGGACATACTTTTTTTTTTATTAAAATAAAATACTTGAATTAACTTCTCACTAACTAAGCAGTTGGGTGGATTTTTTTGCGAAGAACACCGCATATTGAAACCAATAATATAAAATGATATTAAAAAAATTCCCTAAATTACTGAGTTTTAGATTTGGTGATGAAATAATTAATATTTAGGGCATTTACATACATGCCAGCCAATTCTTATATATTTACATATCTAACTCCTAAATTTCATTTTTTACATATATACGTCCCATTTCTTTCATTTCACAAAAAATATGACTCTTTAACCTTTAAGAAGTGAAATGCACCTTTTCATGTATAGGTAAGGTGGCATACATGTAAACCAAACTTTAAGTGTCAGATATGTAAATACATAAGAATTGAGTGGTATGTATGTAAATCTTTCTTAATATCTTATCTGTTCAAAGGCTTTGATAGTGGATGACATATAAATTTTTTAAATATATTTGTCAATGAGATTGAAGTTGTTGAAGTTTCGAATAGACCTATCTATAAATATAGCTAACTAATGAAAACTCTAAACATCATAGATAGAGGGGTTGGTTAATCAAAAATAGATATATTTTTGAGAAATCTGATACCCATTAAATTTGACTTTTGATTGCATAAACATGTACGTTTTGAGATTACGGTACTTCATATCCCTAAACTGAGACAATACTTAATGCAAGTGATCAAATTTAATGAACAATCTCCTAACAAACTTAACACTCGCTGTTTCTCCAACTTTAGATGTGGGGTGTACTTAGAATCTTGTGCCAATTATATATCTTATAAGGTACTCTATGCCTTTTGTGCTGCTGATGCACATGGCCAAAGTTTGAAGAATGTGATGTGAACTTCCTCTTCAAGCAAGGGTGTTGGCTTTGATTCATAAGTTATCAAGACATAGATATTGTATGATCATGTTATTACGGATGCCCAGGACCTAAAATTTAAATGGTTTAAACTTCTAATCAGAAGCGGATAAAATAAATCAAATCCCATTTTTAGCCGAGTTACGAAAGCATTTTGCTTACCCCCAAGATTTACTTCAGTTTAAGCAAGATACAATAATTTGCATAACTACTTTGTGTTCTTGATTTATGAGGAGCTAATGGGGCTTCTTATTATCTTCAGATGAATACTTTCTTCTTTGCTATTATTTGCTATGTACTATGCCTTCGAACAAGTCATTATTTCATGTCTTAGATGCTGCCTTCCATTTCCTTCTAAATGAATTCGGATTTGATGGTACCAATTGCGCATAAATTACTTTACAGAAAGCACAATGACTTATATTTCATGCTAAGCATTTACTTATTGTGCAACTAACAACACATATACTCTGCATCACTTGTACAAGGGGAACTGGCGGACTTCATGTTTTAACATAAATAGTTTTTATATTAGTTTATGTACTTGAAGTTTGAGATGATGATTTGTGGGTTCATCTTGTAATGATAAATTTGATATTAGGAAATCAATATGAAATCTGTGGCGTGTTTAATATCGTGAATGAGAGGAAGCTCAGTAGGTACTTAACCAACAATAATATCTTGAAATTTTGATAAATTTATAGTAGTCATAACATGTATACAACAACAACAACAACAAAGCCTTAATCCCACTACGTGGGGTCGGTTACATGAATCCTTTTTCTCCATTGCGTCCTATTTAGTGTCATATTTTCATTTAGTTCTAGTAAAGAAAGATCATTTTTTATACAATAAGCCCAAGTCTTCCTAGGTCTACCTTTACCTTTCTTAACAGGAGTCGAATCTAAAACATCTACTCTCCTAATCAGATCATCAGATGGTTGACGTTTAATGTGACCAAACCATCTAAGACGACTTTCTCTAATTTTGACCGACACAGGAGCTACACCAACCCTATCACGGATATATTCATTTCGCATTTTGTCTCCAAGTGTAAAGCCACTTATTATTATGCCTCTCTTTTAAAGGCCAACATTCAGCGCCATAGAGCATTGTAGGCCTCACTACCGTCTTATAAAATTTTCCTTTCAGTCTAAACAGTACTTTTCTATCTCACAAAATGCCCGAAGCATTACTCCACTTCAACCAACTAACATGAATTCTACTATTAACATCCCATCTATATTACCATCGCTTTGAACAACGGACCCAAGATATCTAAATCGTTCAGACATTTTAATAATTTGATCACCCAAAGTCACACTTTTGTCACTAGAGCTACTACTACTAAAATTACATTCCATGTATTCAGTTTTAGTTCTACTTAAATGAAGGCCTTTAAACTCCAATGTAGACTTCTATATTTCAAGTTTTTCTTGGGTTTTTTCTCTCGTTTTATCCACGAGAATGATATCATCAGCAAAAAGCATACACCAAAGTACATCTTCCTGTAGATGTCCACTAAACCATCTATAACTAAAGCAAAAAGATATGGGCTTAAAGCCAATCCCTGATGTAATCCAACAAAAATAGGAAAATATTTGGTCAATCCTCCTTCAGTTCGAACACAAGTAACAACTCTAGTATACATATCTTTAATGACTTGAATATAAGTCATATCAACACCTTTCTTCTCAAAGAACTCTCCAAAGGATATCTCTTGGAACCTTATCGTAAGCTTTTTTTAAATCAATAAAAATCAAATGTAGATTCTCCTTATTATCTCTGAACTTCTCCATCAAACCTCTCAATAAATGTATAGTTTCCATAGTAGAACTGCCCGACATAAATTCAAATTAATTATGAGAAATCTTTGAAATGCGTCTTAACCTATATTCAATTACCCTCTCCCATAACTTTAAAGTATGACACATCAACTTAATTCCTCTATAATTTCCACACTCTTGTGCATCCCCTTTATTCTTAAAAATGGGGACCAAAATACTCTTTCTCCACTCCTCAAACATATTTTAGTTTTTAAAATAATATTAAAGAGTTTAGTATGCCAAGAAACTCCCAAATCTCCTAAATATTTCCACACTTCAATTGGGATATCATCAGGTCCTACAGACATTCCACCCTTGGTTTTCTTTAAATCCTCCTCAACACCTTTTTTTCTAATGCGACGGTAAAAATGAAACGTTTTATTATTATTCACGATATTAAGATCATTAAGGTCAATCGTATTTTCAGAAACTTTATTAAAAAGTTTACCAAAATAACACCCACCTATGTTGAATATTTTTTTCTAAGAAAAGTATTTTTTGATCTTCTTCTTTAATACACTTTACTTGAGTCAAATCTTTACTTTTCTTTTTGTTTGGCTAGTTTATACATATATATTTCACCCTCCTTAGTATCTAATATATCTTAGTATCTAATATATTCACCCTCCTTAGTATCTAATATATTATAAAGATCATTAAAAACAGAATTTTTAGCGTCACAGATTGTTTTTTTACCCCCTGTGGGTCGTTTGATATTTTTTCCAGTTCTCAATGCTTTTACATTTAAACTAATTTTAATAACATAACTTCTTATATTTTATCTTTTCTTGCACATTATTATTCCACCACCAATTATTTTTATTTATAAAAAAATCTTCTTTTGATTCTCCAAGCACATCTTTTGCTACTTGTTTAATAGTGTTTGTTACTTTATCCCACATAACATTTGCTTTTTCATGAATATCCCAAATTTTGAAATCTTGAATTTTACTTATAAAAATAATTTTATTTGTGTCTTTTAAGTTTCTTCATCTAATTCTACGATGATGAGTCATAGTATTATTTATTTTACAACTCTTAATCGTAAAATCTAGATTTAATAAACGATGTTGGGTACTTAAATTCTCACTTGGAATGATCTTACAATCTTTACAATCGCGACGATCTCTTCCTCTCATAAGAAAATAATCTCATAAGAAAATAATCACGTGTTTTATTAGATCCACTTTTATCAGTAATAAGATGCTCATGTCTTTCCTTGAATAAAGTGTTAGTAATAACAAAATCATACGCTAAAATAAAATTTAAAATAACTCTACCTTTTTCATTAGTTACTCCAAAATTGTAGCCACCATGAGTATTTCTGAAGTCTTCTACCACTCTACCGACATGTTCATTTAAATCTTCTCCAATAAAAATTTTTTCTTCAACAGGTATCATCTGTATTAAGTCTTCGAAGTCATTCCAAAATTTATCTTTAAATCCTGTATCTAAACCTACTTGAGGAGCATAAACACTTATAATATTAAAAATCTTAGTATCATTCATAATCTCAAGGGCTATAATTCTATCTCCAACTTTATTAATCTTTACAACATCATCTTTTAAACTCATATCTATAATTACAACTACACCATTTCTAGTGCGACTCTTACTAGAATACTAAAGTTTAAAACCTCAATTATCAATCTCCTTAGCCTTTTCTCCAACTCATTTAGTTTCTTGAATGCATAAGATATTAATTTTTCTATGAATCATAATATCAATTAATTTCATTAATTTATCATCGAGAGTACCTATATTCTAATATCTTATCCTAATATTAGTTTTATGGACTAACTTCTTTACCCGCATTCATCCGTAATGTGGGAACCCTTGCTTATTTGACACTACACCCGGGCGCCGGTGTAGCGGTCATTGCACACTTTTCACTGTATTCAGGTTATACAACGCGTCTCTTCCAGGGGACGCCGTAACACTCACACAACGATCAAAACTAGTCATAACATGTATATTGGTTTAAATTCTTTTGACAATAAAATAACAATGTAGGATTGGAATATGCTACAGTTCAAGTAGCTGATGCTTTTGCGAAATCCTCAAATGGTTTAGTGGAATAGTAATTGACTGAACTGGCGAAAGTTATAGTCTATCTTTAAGGGCTTGGTTAGAAGTAACCTTTGTATGAGATTTGGGTTTTTGCTATTACTTAGATGAATACTAAGTAATCTTAGAGTCAAACAAGTTGGAGGTACCTTTGAGCTTAATAACATGTGTTTTTTCACCCATGATGAATAACATCATATTCTTGGCTTCGTTGCTTTCACTCATATGTATGTATGTATGTATGTAGGTATCCAAGTTTGGGTCTGTTTGCATTTGAATTAAGAATTGCTAAATATGTAAAATTCATCTTATTTTCTTGCTCTGCAAGTAATGTCGTTGAAGGAGCCACAGATTATTAAAAATGCTATAATTTTTTTCACTAGATTCCTGTACTCTTTAATAAGTGAAAGAAAATTTTTATTTTCTATTTTCTTCTTCCTCGTTATCTTAGATGCCAACTGATTTCTGTATTTTATGTGGTTCTAGGGGCTTGAGTTTTTTCTAGCTAAAATTTGTTTTTGTGTTGTGTTGATTAATTTTATTGAATTTTTGTTATAGCACTAAATGTTTATGCATGGCAGGAATAAAAGTTTATATTACTGATGAAAAGGAGTTGATTTTGGAACCTGTACTGAAATGGGCTGGAAATCCTAATATAACTGTTGTTGTTAAAGCTTTCGGATTAAAAGCATCTGCACAGGTTTTTTTTTTTTTTTTTTTTTTTTTTTTGGGGGGGGGGGGATGAATTTACATACGTAGCACACTATTTTATGTGCTTTACATAAATCACACCTAAACTTTCACATTTACATATAGTGTTTTAAACCTACACATGAAAAGGTGTATTTCACTCTTAAAAAGTGATAATGCTATTTTGATGTGAGATTAAAGATTTGATTGCTATGTGTGCAAATATGAAAGTTTTGATGTTGCGATAGGTAAATATATAAGAGTTGTGTGCTACGTATGAATAAAGGCACCTCCCCTCCTTTTAGCATCATATTTTTTGAAATGCATTTGAGGTGGTATAGTCACTATATTGCTGCCCTTCTGGGGAATTTCAGGTCATAGATTTACAGGTCTTTGCCATACCACGAATCACATTAAAGCCACTTGTTCCTAGTTTTCCCTGTTTTGCAAAAATATACGTCTCTTTGATGGAGAAGGTAAACTCTGAAAAATTATTTCTTTTTACCTTTTATGTTTGAATATGCAAATTTCTTTTAAAATTTAAGTTTATGTCTTTGTCTTGCAGCCACATGTTGACTTTGGTTTAAGGCTTCTTGGAGCTGATCTTATGTCAATTCCTGGCATCTATACCGTCGTCCAGGTACGTCTAGCCTTTAAGAACTCCAAACAGTAATTTTTTAGTGCTTATGATTTGAACATTCTGACTACTACTGTACTTGAATGTGATAATTCATTAAATATGCAATTTTTGCTCGAATTTCTCTTCGCTTTGTTGGATGAAGTGTAGAGGTTTGGTCTTTACACGACAAGTGTGATTTATTCTATTTATGGTTTCTGTTGGTTTTTGCCAACTTTAACCATAATTGAGCAAGGTTAAACAACGGGAGACTCCCACAGTGATGCATCGTTGTCAAATGAGTTTTTGGTGTATGGCATTTTATATCGAGAACGCTTTTTAGAGTGTTATGCCGAGAGCTGTTAGTATCAATGAACTTGAGAGTATTAAGTTAGAGCTCCACATCATATAGGTGAAATTAATGTTGTAGAAATAAAAAATGGTTAGTCTGTCCCTCACAATTTTAATCTTGGGATTGAAAATGAGTTTAGTGTCCTTTGATTCTCACTATATAACATTGTTGTTCACTTGGAATTTATAATCATAGGATTTTTTACTTTGTTTACTTGTGGATGTAATTTCACAGACGAACCCAATGATGACATGGTAATCATTGTCATTAAGCAAATTCTCCTTTGTTCATTCTCTTGGGTGTTACATTAGATATTAATCGTATTTTCTGTCACTTTTATTTGCACAACTAGCCATCATTTTTTTTTTGGCTACTTCGTTTTCTTTCTAATCTTTCCATATTAAATCTATTCACCCATTTTATTGTGCATCTTTTACCCCTCGTTGACATATGTAGTAGGTCTTGAAAAAAAAGAATCTCATTAAAATTGAGGAAAAACTACTAGAAATAAAACATTAAAAGAAATTTTTTCCAGCAGTGCTGAATTGTTTGTTTTGTATTGTGGGGGCTTCAGCGATAATAGCAGAGATGGAGAATAATATGATGAATATAGTGCAGCATAAAGGCTAGGAATTAACTTTTTGCTGTGTAGCAATTACCAAGGTAATCAGTGGGTTATCTTTTCTTAAGTAATATATACTATTAAAGTAAGCAGAAGAGATTCAGCAAAGCCATTGCCTCATTGTAGATTTGATGGTGGATGTAGACTTAAAACCATGTGTTGGATTTTAATTTAATCACCATCATAAACAATCCAAATATTAAGGAGGATTAATTTTATCACTATTATGTATACTATAGCTATTACTTGTGTTTTAACAGGAGAATTGACCAAGTGTTTTCCTATTTCAGTTGGATTACATCACGGGTCGACTTCATATTTTTTTTGCTTTAGTTATGGATGCTCTTACTGGACATTTACAAGAGGATGTTCCTTGGTGTATGTTTTTTGCTGATGATATGCTTCAAAATTTGAATTATAGAGGTCAATATTGGAGTCTAAAGGCCTTCATTTGAGTAGAACTAAAATTGAATATATGGTATGAATTTTAGTAGAAGTAGCTCTAGTGGTAGAGTTGTAACTATGGGTGATCAAATCATTAAAAGGTGTGAACTTTTTAGAAATCTTGAGTCTATTGTTAAAAGTGATGGTGATATAGATGGGGATGTTATTAGTTGAATTCAAGCTGGTTAGTTGAAGCGGAGGAATGCATCGGGCCTATTGTGTGATAGAAAAGTACCTTTTAAAGTGAAAGGAAAGTTTTATAAGATGGTGGCGAGGCCTGCAATGCTCTATGACACTGAATGTTGGCCTTTAAAAGAGAAGCATAAAATAAAGTTAAGTGTTGCTGAGATGAGAATGCTTAAGTTGATGAGTGGCTTGACACTTAGAGACAAAATGCGAAATGAATTTATCCGTGATAGGGTTGGTGTAGCTCCAGTGTCGAGCAAGATTTGAGAGAGTATTCTTAGATGGTTTGGTCACATTAAACGTTGACCATCTGATGATCTGGTTAGGAGAGTCGATGTTCTAGATTCGACTTAACTTAAGAAAGACAGGGTAGGCCTAAAAAGACTTGGGCAGATTGTATAAAAAATGATCTTAGTTTATTAGAGTTAAATGAAAATATGACACTCAATAGGACATAGTGGAGAAAAAATATTCAGGTAGCCGACCACACTTAGTGGAATAAAGGCTTGTTGTTTTTGTTGTTGTTGTAGTAGTAGTATAAAAAGTAGTAGTATAAAAAATCCAATCCAAATAAAATTTAAGAAAAAAAAACTTAACAAATAAACTAATGCTAAAAAACTCACAGGTTAGACAATTTCATATTCTAAATAATTAATCTCTATGAGAAATATGACTATTAAGCATATTATGAGAAATTCACTCAACTTCACGTGTCAACCACAAAACTCCGTTCACACTACTAGGTATATTGATATCTAAAATTATTGAAGCTAATCTATAGAGTGGTCTAACATTTGTATCCATAAATTTATAAATGTCCCTCTACAAAGTTAAGCAAAATAGCAATGATGGCATTCATCAGATAAACATTTAATTGTAAGGAATTGTAAGTATGTAAATTGAATGTGAAGTGCAAATTGTGAAAACTATAGAGCTTTAAGAACTCTTAAAATATTTATATGATTCGCAATTCTCATGGCCTTATGCGCACACCTAGCCAATTGTAGGACTATAATTCCACTGGCCGAAGTTTGCCCTGCGTTCTCTCTCTTTATCATAATTCTAGCATCAAACACTATTCTTACAGGTGAGTGCAACCCAACATACTCTTTTATTTTGGCCGAGTCTCTTTCCTTTGCTAGATAATATTTTAAACAAACTTTTTTGAAATTTTAATGGTAAATCAACCACTTTTACCTTCTAATATCTCACGCAATCATCCAAACTTGATTGTAATTGTACTGTGAAAACATCAAAATAAACATAATCCTTATCTCAAAATATCCTAAAAGTTTGTGCAAAAAATATAAACAATAATGAAAAACTCAGAAATGATTTGCTTGAAGACTTGAAAGTTATTAGAAGATTGTACACTGAAAGGTCCAAAACATTTAGTTGTATTAATTTCCTTTTATTCATAATATGGTGGTTCTAATAGCCTTAAATTTAGCTTATTTTAATTCAAATTTTTTTTTTTTTTTTAAATTTCAGAAAAACTCTCCCAAAACAACCCTCAAATGAATTTCCCTGCCGCTAACAAAACTAGTTTTTACTTCTAGACTTTGGACTTAACGGAGATTTTAAAACTGTAACAAAGGTTCGATAACCCATTAGTAGGTGCCCATTAAACCCAATAGATGCTCTCAATTCCATAGTAAATTTCTATAATAAAAAGTTCCACTGGAAGGGGCTGATGACAATTTTGTAATTTTTAAATATTTTAATATCTTTAAAGATTATCTTAAATAATTATATATATATACGATAAGATGTGTCAAATTGAATGGTGATGAAATTAAGATCTAGTCTTCACTCTATAACATAGTTATGTTATGAACCAGTTAATCAGCATATAATTGACATGCTTAATTTAATTAAGCATTTTTTAGCATATTTAAATGATCAAATGATACATATAAATTCAATTGAACTTGCCAACACACGAGATACATAATTAGGAATAATTGAAATACTTTAGTTATTCTTAATTTTCAAATTAAGCAATTAATGATGTAATTATTAAGCAAAAAATATTCAATAGGCTGTATAATTTTGGATGAAAAAATTCTCCACAAACATGAGTGATTGTTATCATGAATATGAAAAAATTTTGGCCATAATTACAAAATAAATAAAATTTAAAATAATTTTCACATGTTGATAAATATGAACTTAATGAAATATATTCAAATCTAATCCAAATAACTTCCGAATAATTATAAAATAAATTTGGTAAAAAGTAAAACTGAAGTTCTTTAGCCAATTTTATTCATGTTTTGATCATTCTTGAGATTTGGTAACAATGAGAACTACTAAGGTACCTATACTTAGACTTATACCTTTGAAATCTCCACTCGTTAAAATCATTCACTTGAATTATTTATGTAAGAGACACTACGATCTTCATCAGCCAAGTGGAAAATGGTCCATACTGGCTTAGTAAATGTTTCATTTATCTTTATCATCTCTAAGGTTTCAACTAATACTTAGCAAACTATTAGATGCCATCAGACAAAAATTGTTATCATCAAATTAATTAATAAAATATAAATTATTATATGCTTAATATATAGCACATAAATAACAAGGCCTAGCACTTATTGTAGGATATATGGCATGCAATCTAGTGTTAAGCAAAGAAGATATTATTTTTTTCTAAGTTCATTTTGAGGGGGATGAAATGTAAGGTTGATATATGGTAAATTTGTGCAGAATGACAGACAGGATAATCCCACTCGAGAGTATACATGCAAAACTTCTTGAAGAGAATGTTAGAGCAATAGATATGGATATTTTGAGCAAGTATAACATGAAAAAAGAAAAATGTTCAATATGAAGGTATATAAACTTATTTAAAAGAATCAATAGAAGAAAAATATAAACCAAAGGTAATACTAGTGATTTTGGTAAGATATTACACAAATCAAGCTTAACACTTTATTCAATCTTAAAGGACAATTGACTAAAAGTAATGGTTTAAATCTATCATGTATAATTTTAATGCATGAAAATTCATGATTATTTGTTAGCAACTTAGCATTATTGAAGAATTATGTGATGCTTAATCGTTGTAGGTTCATGTAACTATTATATAAGGGTTGTTGTTTTGCCTTCTTGTTATGGGTGTTTTGAGCCCCAATAGTCAAGTGTGATAAAAAATGAGGCTTGTGGGATAGATATTTGACAGTTAGGAATAATAGATTAAGATATATTTATGAGGAAATAATATTAGTAGTAACTATTAATGATAAAGGCAGCAGAAAGTAGACTTAGTTTGATCAACTAAAATACAGAACATAACACATACTTGTGGCTAGATGGAAAAAATGTTAGAAAATTAGAAAGGAAATGGTAAGATGATTAGCTAATTGGAGTGAAGGCAATGAAAATGATTGTAGATTTGAGTTCTCACTCTCTTCCCAATTGGAGGAGGAATAATGGCAAGTCAACATGTGCATCAATTTTTAATGAAATATTTATAATTTAAAATTTTAAAATAAATTATTTAATAAAAAACAAGGTTGTAAATGATTAAGTAGGCCTTGCAATATCTAATTAACTCTAGTTAAAGTTTATTCAATCAACTTTTGATTAGGTCTGAGATTATGTCAAAATTATTTTTTGATGCGGCTAATGATTCATGAAGGCTTAATGCTTTCCCAAATTTGCGGGCTAACTTATGATGATGGCCGCATTTGACACGTTAGGTGTATTGAAGGAATCATTCATAAAGAAAAGCCTTAAGTGATTTAAATAAAGATAATTATGATAGTATTGATTACATCATTTGAATAGCATATATTTAGGTATCGAAGATTATAAATTGCCACCTTTAGAAATGGTTTTTATGGTTAGTAGTGAAGTTTCAAACCATGTAGATCTTAATATTGCAAATCATTTGCTTTAAAAGGCTAACATAACATTAATTGCTTTTAATGCATTGATTATCTTTGCATTCATACAGGCGTGTGCCCTTGTAAGACTAAGATTAACATGAGCTGAATTAATGATTACTTTGGATATAGTCTAAAAGTTGCTTTGATTACTAGGCTTTTTATTTAAAGCCTTAAGCTAGGCAAGTTCAAATCACATTTTCAGCTTTTTTTTTTTTTTTGGAAGATCTACATACATTCCACTTAATTCTTATGTATTTCATATCTAACACCTAAACTTCAATATTTACATATATGCCACCTAACGTTGCATGAAAAGCTGTATTTCACTTCTTAAAAATTAGAATAGTGTTATATTTGATGTGTTATGAAAGATTTGGGTGATATTAATGTAAAAAAGCTAAGTTTAATTAGGTGTTCGATATGTTAAAACATAAGAATTGGGTGGTATGTATGTAAATGCCCTTATTTTGCATGTTTTACTTCAACCTAAGTTTTCTACTCCCAAGCCTGCCTTTTAATCTTCTGCTATAGCTTCCAACCTTTGTTGCACATTTTGATCAATACAGGTTGGAACCTATCTATTTTGACTGATATATCCATATTTGGTGAACTTGTTAAATTCTGCAAATGTGATCGACTTTTGTGAAAATCAATGCCATATAGTTTAAACTAAACCAAGGGCTAAAACTGATCTTTTTGTCTGAAAATTAAATCATCTATAAAACAAATCTACTTGTATTTTTCAAATGTAGTTAAACATGAAGGCTTATTCAAGTTCGAAGTGAGCAAAACTCATCTTTTCTTACTCTTAAGCCGAGAAAATTCGTTCTTACTTGACTTCTTAGGATCATTTGCCACCCCCATTTATGACTCTTGTTGCATTAATTAATGACTTATTTGGGTTCAATTTATTTCTATCTTTGTTTTTTTCTTTTGTTTTTTAAATGTCTGTTTATACGTTTTTTACATATTTTTATTTCTTGTTGATAGAAACAAATTAACATTTTTTAAACAATCACATCTTAATTAAATATGTTAAACATGTTTTGTTTCAAATCAAAACGTAAACAAAATCAAATAAAAATAAAAAATAGAAAATAGAAAATAGAAGTGATTCCAAATTGCCCCTAATGATCGAGATTTTGCACCACTTTTGCTTCTTTTGATATTGACGCTTCTAATGCTATCATGCACGCAGGAAATAATAAAAAATCAGGTTGCAAGCATGTATCTTTGGCCAAAAACTCTTGAAATTCCAATCATGGATCTTTCAAGGTGATAATATATCAATTTAAAACCCGATTTATTATTATTATTATCTTTTTTTACGAATTTGATGACATTTTGACTTGGGATTTTTTTCTGGGCCTTTTAGCGCCATGAAGAAGCCCGTTGGAATACTTCATGTAAAAGTAATCAGAGCATATAAACTAAAAAAGAAAGACCTTTTGGGCAAATCAGATCCTTATGTAAAGCTAAAGCTTACAGAAGAGAAACTCCCATCGAAGAAAACCAAAGTGAAGCACAATAATCTTAATCCTGAATGGAACGAGGAATTCCGATTGGTTGTCAAAGACCCAAATTCTCAAGCTTTGGAGCTTCTTGTTTTCGATTGGGAGAAGGTATGTTTTTTTCTATTTGGATACCTTTTATTTACAAAAATGTGAAGACGCACTACATATTTTGTATGCATTTACATATAAAATACCTAAAATTTGTTATTTACATTTATAAAGCTTTGGTGGCTTAATAAACCTATGCTTGAAAATGTGTATTGCACTTTTTAAAAAGTTAGAAAAAGCGGTACTTTTTATGCGATGTTAAAGAATCGAGTTCTAAGCATGTAAATATGGAAGTTTAGGTGTAAGATATGTAAATACATAAAGGGTATGTTTCATTTTTATTTATTATTGGGACTCCACCATGATGAATCACCTGCAAATTCTTGCAAGAGGTTTGTAATTACAATCTTCTTAGTTTCATTTTCTCTTTTTAGGTTGGGAAACATGATAAGATTGGCATGCAAGTTATTCCATTGAAACAACTTTCTCCCGACGAACCCAAAACTTTGACTCTCGAGTTGGTAAAAACGATGGATCTATCCGAAACCGATGATAAATCACGGGGCCAAATTGTGGTTGAGTTGCTATATAGTCCTTTCAAGGAAGATGCTTTGCCCAATGAAGTTGTCGAGGATGCCGACGGTTTAGAGAAGGCTCCCGAAGGCACTCCTGCCGGCGGAGGTTTATTGGTTATCACGATTCATGAAGCCGAAGATCTCGAGGGTAAACACCACACAAACCCGTATGCACGAATCATCTTCAAAGGCGAAGAGAGGAAGACTAAGGTTTTAAAAGTTGCTTTTTTTTTTCTATTGCAATTTTTTTTTTTTTTTTTTTTTTTTTTGATTTTCAGCTTATATTGAGGTGATTTTTCTTCTCATGTAGCACATTAAGAAAAATAGGGATCCACGGTGGGAAGAAGAGTTTCAGTTTAGCTTATATTGAGGTGATTTTTCTTCTCATGTAGCACATTAAGAAAAATAGGGATCCACGGTGGGAAGAAGAGTTTCAGTTTGTTTGCGAGGAGCCCCCTGTGAATGATAAATTGCAAGTGGATGTCCATAGCAAGCCATCAACTATTGGCATACACTCTAAGGTGAAATATGTTTAATTCTAATTAATCATGAATTGTTCAAGATTATATATTCTATTATATATATATATATATTGCAGGAAAATTTGGGTTATGTTGTCATCAGCCTTGCAGACGTCATCACAAACAAGAGAATCAATGAGAAATATAATCTCATTGATTCCAAAAATGGCAGAATCCAGATTGAATTGCAATGGCGGCCTTCATAGACAGCAGCAGCAGCTTCAGTCAGCAAACTGCAAATCAAAGAAAGAGGAAACTTTTATTCTGGCTTTATTTTCATTTTTTTTTTGTTTTAATAAATATTGTATCTTCTGTACATATAATGGCTGTGTGATTTCATGTTATTGTATGCTTTGGGTGAATGTTTGCATTTTTTTTCTTTTTAAAATTTGAAATTAAACCTTTGAACTGCATTTGTGAAAGGCACAGTAGAACTTTTGAAAATATTTCATGTTGGGACCGAGTCGTCAAAGAAGATTGGTCGTAGGGGGTGTAACTGAGTCGAGCCAGGCCTTAGTCAACATTAGCTTGACTTTGAGCTTGGATTTGAGTCTATGTGATTTTGAGTCAACTCACTCATGGCTCATTTATCATGAAAGAGGAAACGTGATTTTGAGATATGCTCGGTGCTCTTGACTCGCACGCTACTTATCTGGTCGAGCATGAGCCAACTCACGATTAAGCTCGACTCAAGTGTTCATTAACAAAAGTAATTTAATATATAAAAAAAAAAAATACAACTCTCACATAATCACTTATTAAATAAATGAGGCATTCACACACATACCACCTAATTCCTATGTATTGCCTTATCTAACTGTGAAATTGCACCTACTTTTTATTTGGTACTCTTATTTCTCTAACTGTGAAATTATTTAAATAATGCTCGAGTATTTGAACTTTTATTTATTGAATTTATGTGAAACTTACGCATACATACCACACAATTCATATATATTTACATAACACCTAATGTTTGATAGTCATAATTATATCATTTTGTAGCTATAAATCTATACATGAAAGATATATTTTACATTTAAAGAGAAGAGGCAGTTCAAGTCCTTGTCTCTCTCCCTTTATACCCTATTTATACAACATAGAGCATATGTGCTCCTCTAAAGAATAAATAAAAGACTATATTGTAGGTCGTAATATATGAGGCCAGGAGATACCCGGCGGCCATGAAACAAAGTTTACTTTCTTTTGTTTCTAAGAGTTGTTCCTTGAGCCTGGTGATGCAACTAGATATTTACCGACGAGCCTGATAGAAGAGCTTTACAAGTATTGACAAGCTTAGTAAACGAACTTAAGAAGTATGAGCGCACTCGGCTGAGGTAGCTCGCTGAAGGTGTATGACTGATGAGCCTGATCGAAGTGAATGATGACAAGTTTCAAATGTACATTAATTATTTACTTCCATGGAAGATTAACAAACATACCACTCAATTCTTATATATTTACATATCTAACATTTAAACTTTACATATATAACTCCTTAGTTATGCATGAGAAGTTATATTTTATTTTTGTAGAAGTTAATATATTGACATTTTTTATGTGATATGGAAGATTTGGGTGGAATAAGTGTAAAACTAAAATTTAGGTGTTAGGTATGTAAATACATAAGAATATAATATGTAAATATAATATTAATAAGGGATATTTTTAAAAAATATTTTCTGAAGCACTTATTATCATTGATTCTTAATGTAATTTTACCTGCATATATACTGACATTAAGAAAATAAATCTCTCTTCTAGCTCACTTGCTTCTACGGGTGCAAACGAGTCGAGTTAAGCTCAACTTTCACGGGAGCTCGCCGGAGAATAGATTGGTGGCCGAAGGAGGAGCAGGAGTCAGTAGCAGCTCGCTGGAAAATTCAACGAAATGACGAGTGATAGACTAATCAAGCCAGCTTTATTTGAGAGTGTCTTAAGAGATTTATATTTAAAAAAATCATTTAATTTAATCCTAGCAAATTAATGATAAGTTTAATGATAAATCTAATTATATTTCAAAACAAAAGTTCTTAATTTCAACCTCAAAATTTTCCTTCTAAATGTTTTAAAATAAATGAATATAATAATAATAACTTTTTAATGCTCACATCCAAAAGCTTAACTAAAAGGAACATCAAAGTAATTAGCTCTATCCATTGCTTTCTACCTAACAACAATCACTTCATTTACCCTTTAAACCAACCATCATTCCTTTTTTTCAACATTCAACCAATATTTTCCAAGTCAATAAACAATATAAGACCATGAAAATGAAATTTACATTAATTTAATCTATTTCATACAACTCAGATAGAGCCACTATAAGCATACGAACCACCCGAAACATTAATATTTACAAACTAACCCCCGAAGTGATTTGTTTTACACGTGCCACGATAAAACTACTGAGAATTCGAAAAAAAATATGAAAAATGAATGGAAGGGGAGGTTGATTCGTAAATAACAAGTTTCTGGCGGGTCTGTACGTAATTGCCCATTTTATTTATTTTATTATTTTATTTACATGGGGCACTCCATACACTGAGTGGGCAGAGAACGCAACAAAAACACCAACCAACCTCCTCACTAACCCCACTCCTTTATTGCCTCTCATGTTGCAACAAAATGACACTCAACATAAACAAGTAGGGTGAGGACCAGAACTAATACCTCACTACCTACCTTTTTCTCTAACCTAAATCCCAACTCATCACCCTATTGATTGCTTCTAGAACCTATATTTTCATATATCCCCTTCTTCATATCATAATTATTGCTTTTGTATAACTAATCATTCTCCCAACCTCCTTTTAGAATTTGGGTCTAGCTCTATATTACAATATCAATATAATGGGAAATGATATTATTATCATTCACTTAAATAAATATATTTTTAATGCTATTTGTAAAGTTATGTTATTGGTCATTTATTTTTATATATTAAGTTACTCTAGAAGAAAAATATACTCTGTAGATTCATGTAATGAAAACATATTAAAATTATTACGTCTGGTGTCTGCACGGCTGGACGTCAGTGACGATCCGATCACACAAAATGAACGATAATATGACAGTAATAAATTTCTTGTTCGATATTCCAACCTTTCACTCTCCTAAACCCGCTCCTAATTACGAGACTAATTATTACATTAGGAACTTAGGAATAAGTAGCTATAGCTATTAAATAATTAGGTGTAAGGATAGTATCAAATTATATGTGATATCAATTATAGCTACATGGAAGAATAAGGTGGATGAGGATATTTTTATAATTATATGACTCATACCTAACGACTGGTTGTGTACTAGACAACCACCAAGCAACATGGCAGCCACTACCTTCCTTCTTAAAATTAGTGAAGAATAATAGTTGGAGGGGGCTCACTGACAAAAAGAGAAAGGTAGGTTTGAACTTAAAAAATTAATTTATCATGTTGTTCTGTTTTTTTGAATAATTAACCCTAGGTGTTCATTACAAGAATAATTAATTAATTATTTTGTGTTAATTAAACTTTAATTATATTGCATTTATTTATCTGTTGGTTGGAATTCACAGTATAAGACCCATCAGGTCGGGGGTTCGAACCCCGTCTTGCACAGTTGGCCGTAAGAATGTGACACTTGAATTGTTAGACACATTAAGGATGGCTGGAGGCTCGTATAATAGGCTCCGGCCATTCCTTATATTTTCCTAAAAATTATGAATAAAATGAATTTATTTTTAAAGAGAATTTATTTTTTGCTAAAGTATGATTATTAATATTGCCTTTGGAATTTTTTTGAAGTGCAAAAATTATTTCGGCACAAGTTTATTAAAAAATATAATTTGAAATTTTAGAAATCTTTGTATTTTTAAGAGATTATTAGGTTTAAGATATAGTTGCCTTTTTAAAAATATATTATTAAAATTTATTTACGTAGTGCAAACTTAACCAGATTTACTACATCGAGACTTTATAGTATTTTAAGGACTGTGCTAAATAGGGGTGTAAACGAACCGAACACGAATGGACAGAGCTTTTGTTCATGTTCGATTCGTTTGAAATTTTAGTTTGTTTGAAATAAGCTCGTGATCGAAATTGTTCATGAACTCATTGTTCGTGTTCGTTTCTCAATGAGTTGAACACGAGCTGTTCGCGAACGATGAGCCAGTTTGACATCCCTAATATTAATATATATAAATATTATATTATATTATATTAATTATATAACTTATATTATATAAATATATAATATCTATATTAGTATATAGGGCTTTCAAAAAAGCTCTTTGTTCGCGAACAGCTCATGTTCGACTTGTTAAGTAGCCCGTGTTACGGCTCGTTCGTTAAGTAAACGAGCCGAACACAAATAAATTAGCCTAACGAGCTGAACACGAACAAATTTTTAAGCTCAAAATGTAAATGAGCCGAACACAAATAACAGTTTGTTCGCTCGTATTCGGCTCGAAATGAATCGAAAATTTTTTTTATAACTTTTTATATAACAATATATTACATATATTATTTATATAACAATATATTATATATATTTATGTCTAAGTTTAAATCATAACAACTTATGTGACAATGTGGTTAGTGCATTTTTTTGTATATATTTGATCCAGGTTCGAATCCCACACTTTACATCAATTTTTCTTAATTCAAGTTTAACGAGCCAATTTTGAGCCGAACATGATCCGAACAAGAACACAAATATTTTAATCGAGCCAAACACGAACACGTTGTTCACGAGCCGATTTCGAACACGAGCCGATTTCGAACACCGTTTACAACTCTATTAGTATATTACTAATATAGTATATTAATATATTATTATTATTAATTTATTTTATATTATAATTTGTAAAATTTAATTTTTTAAAATATCATAAAATTTTTATATATAATTATTTTAAGTTATTTTTTATTTCGAACAATAATGATTCGAACACGAACGAACGCATCACTGTTCGTGTTTTGTTCGTTTAACTAACCGAACGAAAAAATTTTGTTCACATTCGTCTCGTTTACTTATCGAACGAATCAAACACGAACTCATTGACGAACCGAACACGAACTGTTCGCGAACAATGAGCCTTTTTGACAGCCCTAGTGCTAAAAGAAGAAATATTCCTTATTTTGAAAATATATTTCTTTATTCTAATGATTTAAAAAAATAAATAAATATTTAAAAATAGTTATCAACAATTTAAGACTAAATAATGCTCATGCTCATCCTCTTCACTAAAAATGGGCCCCAATTCTAAATGGTAGGTGGCATTTTTCCCCCTTAATTAAGTGTATTTACGTAAATACCACATATTTTTAACATATTTAAATATCTAACATATAAAACTTTTATATTTACATGCATATCATGATAACACTTAAAATTTTAACATCATATTAAAATATCACTATCTACAATTTCATAAAAATATAATAAACTCTTTATGGATA